GAGGCCCTAGAGCTGGTGCTGTCGCCCCTGGAGTTGGAGGCCCCGAGATAGTGCTGGTGTTTCTGGTTCTGGAGGTGCTCGTACCGGAGGTACTGGAGCTGCCGGGACTGGTGGTGCTGCTGGTGCTGGTGGTGCTAGTTCTGGGGATACTGCTTCTGGTGGTGTTAGTGTTCGAGGCACTAGAGCTGGAGACAGTGGTGCTGGCGGTGCTGGCTCTGGAGGTACTGGCGCAGGGGGTTCCGAGTCTGCTGGTGCTGAGCCTAGGGGTACTGAGTCTGCTGGAGGTCCTCCTGGTGCCGCGTCGCAGCGGTCACCTCTCTCGCCGCAGCAGCTGCGCGAGTGGCTTGCTTCGCGCACCCGCCTTCGGAGTCGCGCTGCTGGAGCTGGAGACGCTGCTGCTGGAGGTGCCGGAGCTGGAGGCACTGGAGCCGGTGTTGTCGACGCTGTAGTTGGAGACCCTGGAGCTGGAGGTGCCGGTTCTGGGGGTGCTCCTCCTGGAGGTACTGGGGCTGGAGACCCTGGGGCTGGAGGTGCCGGTTCTGGGGGTGCTGCTGCTGGAGGTACTGGGGCTGGAGACCATAGTGCTGGTGGCACTACTCAGCCGCGGCTGTTTTTCGCTCCGCCGTCACCGTCGTCTCTGCCACCGCCTGACTCCGTGCTTCGCCAGGTTCTTAGCCTCCCGTCTTCTACTGGCCTCCCGTTACAGCCAGGCTCCCCACTGCCTGCTCCTCCTCCTTACACTGAGCAGACAGACTCAATTACAGAGCGCTGTGAGCCTGCGTCTCGTCCTGCCTCGCCTGCTCGCACTGGTCGCACTAGTCGCCGTGTTCCTCGTGAGTGTCCGCCTCCTGTCCCTGGCACGCACACTATGGCACTTCGTCCTTCCTCTGTTCCACAGCGTGTTCCCCTGCCGTCTCCTCCTGAGTCCTCTCTTCCGCACGTTCCGGACCCTGAGTCTGACCTGGTTCGTGCTGCTCACCCTACTGTCACGCGTCTGTTAGCCACTATTGTCACTGACCCGTCGTTTGAGTCTGCTGCTGCGTCTGCCTTGGTCGCTGAGCTTGTTGACTTTGCTGCTGCTTGTCGTCTCGACTACGCTGCCAGTCTAGTTGCTGAGTCTGAGTCTGAGTCTATCTGTCCTCCGTCCGTCGGGGTTGAGTGTGCTCTTGGCACGGACGTCCTTGAGGGCAGACAGGAGGACTTTGAGTGTCTTGCGGCTGTTGTACCTCATCTCGTGGCCATGCTGCTTGCCCCTGAGGGAGACCCGGATGCACCAGACATCCCGACCCCGCGCACTTACGCAGAGGCGATTACGGGTCCCTACTCCTCTCAGTGGCAGACAGCCATGGACGCAGAGATGGCATCCTGGAAGTCCAGAGGCACTTACGTCGATGAGGTTCCCCCTCCTGGGGCGAACATCGTCGATGGCATGTGGATCTTCAGGGTGAAGCGGCCGCCGGGTTCTCCGCCTGTCTTCAAGGCTTGTTACGTTGCACGAGGCTTCAGTCAGCGACAGGGAGTTGACTTCTTCCAGACCTTCTCCCCCACCCCGAAGATGACCACTCTTCGGGTGCTGCTGCTCGTTGCCGCTCAGCGTGACTACGAGCTTCACTCTCTTGACTTCAGCACAGCTTTCTTGCAGGGCAGTCTGCACGAGGAGATCTGGCTGCGCCGCCCACCTGGCTTCACTGAGTCGTTTCCTCCTGGTACCCAGTGGAGCCTCCGCTGGCCAGTCTACGGTCTCCGCCAGGCGCCTCGTGAGTGGCATGACACACTGAGGACGACACTTGCGGCTCTTGGGTTTGCCCCTTCCACTGCTGACCCGTCGCTGTTTCTACGCACCGACACTTCGCTGCCGCCGTTCTACATCCTTGTGTACGTCGACAACTTGGTCTTTGCCACTGCTGACACTGAGGCACTCGCCCTTGTGAAGTCGGAGCTGCAGAAGAGACACACGTGCACAGACCTGGGTGAGCTGCACAGCTACCTTGGCTTGCAGATCACCAGGGACAGAGCACGCCGCACCATCACACTGACTCAGTCACACATGGTGCAGCAGGTCCTTCAGCGCTTCGGCTTCACTTGGTCCTCACCACAGTCCACTCCTCTGGCTACAGGTTACTCGCTCTCAGCTCTGCCTTCGGATGAGTCCGTAGAGCCAAGTGGCCCGTACCCAGAGCTTGTGGGCTGCCTCATGCACCTGATGACCTGCACTCGACCTGACCTTGCGTACCCCCTTAGCATCCTGGCTCGCTACGTTGCGCCTGGGAGACACTGGCGAGAGCACTGGGAGGCTGCTAAGAGGGTGTTGCGCTACTTGTGCAGTACATCGGGCATGGGGCTCGTGCTTGGAGGACGGGGTGAGGTTGTCCTCACTGGACACTCTGACGCGTCTTGGGGCTACGAAGCGGTCGTCACAGGGTTACTCTTTTAGCCTTGGCTGTGGCTCTGTTTCTTGGCGGTCTACCTGCTCGTCTTCTGTTCTCAGCTCCAGTTGTGAGGCTGAGATCTATGCCACAGCCATGGCTGCACAGGAGTTACGCTGGCTCACCTACCTGCTGACCGGCTTGGAAGAGTGGTCTCGTTCTCCTCCAGTTCTGTACGTAGACAACAAGGCCGCTATCGCCTTGTGTCAGGAGCACAGAACGAAGCACATCGCTCTGCCTTACTTCCTCGCTCGAGAGTTGCAGCAGCGTGGTTAGCTTCGTCTTGCTTACGTGGCCACCCGGGCCAACACTGCTGATATATTCACCAAGGCACTTCCGTCTGGTGATCATCAGCGCTTCTGTACTATGCTAGGCCTTGTGCTTGTACTGTGATTTATATATATACCTGCATGCTTTCTCTTGCTAGGTAGTGATCACTGTACTGTTGTTGTTGCATATATACCTCTGCATGTGAACTGGCCTTGTGGCCCTTTGCTTGTGCTTAGAGTGTGTGGTGACGTTGTGATCCACCCTGAGCTTGCTTTGCTTTTCTTGACTGGTCTTGTGACCCCTTGTTCTCCCCCACTTTGCCTATGGGGATGTGTCAAACTATATCTGTGCTAGTTATGTGTAGGCTATAGTGGGGTAGCCCATATGGGGTACAACCCAATGTTAGGGTTAGTACTTGTACCCACCCATAACTCATTCAATGCACTCATTCCTGCTTGTTATCTTGAGATCGATAACCCCCCTGATGGGAAGGTGGGGTGGATGTTTGCAGGGAAGCTAGGGTGGGGTGGATGTTTGTGGTGTCGTGCGAGGCGCAGCGTGCTGCGGGGATTTTCGGCAGAACAGCTTTGACACAGCAGATCTGCTATGCCAGGGCGAATCTCTTGTCCATGACAGGGCTAATTTCTTGTGTCAGGGCGAATTTGATATGACTGGGCGAATCTGAAGTGCTGTGAAGGGGCGAACATTTGCTTTGTCGTGCGAATTTCTGTGTCACTGCGAATCTGCAGTTACCAGTCTTGCTCGAACCACTTGCATCCAAAAACTGAAACTAGATTGTACAATCGTCGTGTTTGATTGGTCAGGCAAGGATTTTTCTCATGAATTAGACTGGCCCGAAGGGCCCGTCTGATTCATCGGGCCCCCTGGAATCCTAGCTAGGACCCTGGCGTGCTGCGAGCCATGCGTTGGCAACGAATCTTGCCAACGCTGCCTGCTGTGCAACCCCGATTGGTCGGATTTTAGCTGATAACAGCTTTGCTGTACACTCCAACGCGATTGTGCGGTACCGCGTGGGGGAAATCTGTGTGTTAGTGATTGACTGCAACACTGAATTCTTGCTGTGAACCTTGACGAATCAGGGTGAGACGTTGTAAGACACTGAACAATCAGAGTAGCAAACTTTTGAAAAATGTGCACCCATAATGCAGGGGGGAATTTTTTTCCCGGATTCAGGGAGGCCTAATATGAAACGTCAGCCCTGGGCTACGCACTCGGAAGGACGGTAGCTTTCGAACAGCTGAGTTTTTTGGGTTGTTTTTATTAGAGAAAATACTCTGACTGGTTTGTGATTTCAGATAATCCCCCATGCGTCCTTGATTTTTCAGAATAAATCCTGTTTGAACCAGACCTTGATTTGTTGTATACTCTGCCAGTCCTCATTGTCAAATTATATATGCATATATATGGTAGTTGCTGGCTACGGTGAGTTGCTCTTTAGAGAGTACAAACTTAGTGAATACACATCCCACGCTTCCGCTCCCTCTTTTAGCTCGTACTTAGTTATTTTCTGCTAGCGCCCGTCCCTTAGGCTCATTTTCGTCGCCTTAGGACGGCCCCCGAAGGCCTCGTTTTGGTCGCGCTTAGAGACGCCTGTGGGGGCCCCGTTTCGTCACATTGAAAGGCTTTCCGCGGGCCCTCGTTTCGTTGCGCCGCGGCCTGTCCCGTCACGCTTAGCTAAGGCCCCCGCGGGCCCTTTTCGTACGCTAAGACCCCCCCCCCAACACCTCCCGAGGGCCCGTTTTGTCGCGCCTCTGCCAGCCCGCCTTTGCCAGCCCGCCATTACAGCCGCCACAGCCTCTGCTGCCCGTGCCTGCCCCTGCCAGCGCGCCTTGGGCAGCACACATTGCTGCAGCAACCCGCATAGGCAGCAGCTCGCACACTGCTAACCGCCGGCCGCCATTCACGCCCGTACCGCCAGCAGCTTCCCATAACTGGCCACTGCCGCCCATATCCGCCCTCATCTGCCCACAGCCGCCCATAGCCGCCCTTAACCACTCATAGCCGCGTCAGCAATCGTGGAGCCCCGTCAATCTCTCCAGTGACGGGGTCTCGCCTCTCACTCACTCACACTATCATAATTCGCTCGCGCCACGCTCACTACCGTCATTCATTGTCTTCAGTTCCTTCGCAACGGTCGCGAGTGCTTTCGCGACCGTCACTCGTGCCTTCGCGACAGTCATACTGCCTTCGCGACCGTCGCTGGTGCCTTCGCGATTCATACTGCCTTTGCAATAGTCGCCAGTGCCTTGGCGACAGTCGCTCCTGTAAGTCGCTCTCGTCACAATGTCGACAGTCGCCCATTCCCCTCCCTTTCAATGGGAGCTTCTTCTCTTTAACCCTCTCGCACACTCGCTCGTTCAATCTCATGCGCTATGCCCTCCTTTCCCCCACGTGCTGCCCTCCTTTCCCCCACGTGCTGCCCTCCTTTCCCCCACGTGCTGCCCTCCTTTCCCCCACGTGCTGCCCTCCTTTCCCCCACGTGCTGCCCTCCTTTCCCCCACGTGCTGCCTTCCTTTCCCCCACGTGCTGCCTTCCTTTCCCCCACGTGCTGCCTTCCTTTCCCCCACGTGCTGCCTTCCTTTCCCCCACGTGCTGCCTTCCTTTCCCCCACAGGCTGCTCAGCACCAGCCAGGGCTGCTCATCATCACCTTTTATCGTTTGGACCGTCAGCAGCAGCGGCTGGTGGAGCAATTTCCGTCGCTGGTTTAATTTCCGCATGCCGATCGAAGGGCCCGCGCTTCAGTTGACTAATTTTGAGAGGTTGTCATCTCTTTCCTGCTGCGGTGGGGTGTCAGAAGCCTTGTTCTCAACTCGCCGGCAAAGTTCAGGGCACGTGATTTGAGCAGGCAAAGTTGAAAGCTTCTGAAGGGACACGCCAGGGGACTCACATTCAGAAGCGATCAAGAAGATGAAAGTGTGAGACTCTCACCCCGCCTCTCCTCTTCCATCCCGCCTCTCCTCCACCCTTTTTCTTCCCTCTTCTCTTCCCTCTTCTCCACCACCCCCAGTCTTCTCTTCCCCCTCTGACGATATGCAGCCCCTCCCATCTCCAACTCCCATTCCCCCCTCCCATTCCCCCCTCCCATTCCCCCCTCCCATTCCCCCCTCCCATCCCCCCCCCCACTTCCCACTCCCCCTTCCTACTCCCCTTCCCACTCCCCCTTCTCACTTCACCCTCCCATTCCCTCTTTCCATTCCCCCTTCTTATCCCCCCCTTCCCATTCCCCCTTCCCATTCCCCATCCAATTCCCCCTTCCCATTTCCCCATCCAATTCCCCCCTTCCCATTCCCATTCCCCCATCCCATTCCCCCTTCCCATTCCCCATCCAATCCAATTCCCCCTTCCCATTCCCCATCCCATTCCCCCTTCCCATTCCCCCATCCCATTCCCCCTTCCCATTCCCCCATCCCATTCCCCCTTCTCATTCCCCCATCCCATTCCCCCTTCCCATTCCCCCATCCCATTCCCCCTTCCTATTCCCCCTTCCCATTCCCCCTTCCCATTCCCCCATCCCATTCCCCCTTCTTATTCCCCCTTCTCATTCCCCCATCCCATTCCCCCTTCCCATTCCCCCATCCCATTCCCCCTTCCTATTCCCCCATCCCATTCCCCCTTCTCATTCCCCCATCCCATTCCCCCTTCCCATTCCCCCATCCCATTCCCCCTTCCTATTCCCCCATCCCATTCCCCCTTCTCATTCCCCCATCCCATTCCCCCTTCCCATTCCTTCTTCCCATTCCCTTCCCATTCCCCCTTCCCATTCCCCCTTCCCATTCCCCCTTCCTATTCCCCCTTCCCATTCCCCTTCCCATTCCCATTCCCCCATCCCTTTCCCCCTTCCCATTCCCCCATCCCATTCCCCTTCCCATTCCCATTCCCCCCCATCCCATTCCCCCTTCCCATTCCCCCATCCCATTCCCCCTTCCCATTCCCCCTTCCCATTCCCCCTTCCCATTCCCTTCCAATTCCCCCTTCCCATTCCCCCTTCCTATTCCCCCATCCCATTCCCCCTTCTTATTCCCCCATCCCATTCCCCCTTCCCATTCCCCCATCCCATTCCCCCTTCCTATTCCCCCATCCCATTCCCCCTTCTCATTCCCCCATCCCATTCCCCCTTCCCATTCCTTCTTCCCATTCCCTTCCCATTCCCCCTTCCCATTCCCCCTTCCCATTCCCCCTTCCTATTCCCCCTTCCCATTCCCCCTTCCCATTCCCCCATCCCTTTCCCCCTTCCCATTCCCCCATCCCATTCCCCCTTCCCATTCCCCCCATCCCATTCCCCCTTCCCATTCCCCCATCCCATTCCCCCTTCCCATTCCCCCTTCCCATTCCCCCTTCCCATTCCCCCTTCCCATTCCCCTGTCCAATCCTCCCTCTCTTCCGCCCCACAGCCTGCAGCCATGTGCGGGCCTATTAACGAACCATGAGGTGTTTGAGCTGCTAACAGACCGGGGGGCCATGGGAGCAGTGGACGTGTCGCAGGGCGGCATAGGGCCGGCAGCCATAGAGTGCCAGGTCTACACCTATCTCTGCGCCGCCCCTGCCGCCACCCAGACGCGGGCGGCTGTGACCGCGTGCACGGAGCAAGCGGCGGCGTTTGGACTGACACGGATGGAAACGCTGCAGCTGGTGAATCTGAGGCCGTCCCAACCAGTAGAAGCACACCTGGTGTGTGGCGGTGACTCTGTACAAACGCACCTGATTTTATCGCAATTACTGTAATGAATGACACACAGCCACTTGTTTCAAGTAGATTGGATCTTTCCTTTGCTGCCTCTTGATCATTCGTCCCCTCTTGTCTATTCGTCCTCTCTTATCATCTATATTGCTCCTCCATTGCTCCCCCATCCCCCCCCCCCTCTCCCCACCCCTCCTGGCAGATCATAGCCCCTCCCGGCGACTGTGAGATGCGCCTACTGGGTGAGAGGGTGGAGCAGCTGCTGCAGGCTCTGAGGCGCCTCAAATCTTGTCCATCACTCACCCCTCCACCACTCCCCCACCACTCCCCCGTCACTCCCCCATCACTCCCCCATCACTCCCCCATCACTCCCCCATCACTCCCCCACCACTCCCCCATCACTCCCCCACCACTCCCCCATCACTCCCCCATCACCCCCCCATGGCAGATCATAGCGGACTGTGAGATGCGCCTACCGGGTGAGAGGGTGGAGCAGCTGCTGCAGGCCGTGGACGAGACACTGCCAGCAGCACCAGAACTGGAAGGAGGAGCGGAGGAGGAGGATGCAGTTGAGGGGGGCTGAGGGCACTATTGGAAAGGAGACGTTGCCAGCAGCTGTTGCAGCTGATGGTATGGTAAGTTGCGTCTGCCGGGTGAGAGGGTGGAGCAGCTGCTGTTGCAGGCAGTGGACGAGACACTGCCCGCTGCACCGGGGCTGGAGGGAGGGGCGGAGGAGGAGAAGAATGCAGTTGAGGGCGGTTGAAGGCGCAAGGCTAGTGAATGCTGATGAGTGGTAGAGCCTGATGATAGGAGCCTAGGGTAATGAAAGGGGGAGCCAATATGTGTATGCCAAGAAGCAGCAATTGAAGGTGAGAGTTGGTTGGGGAGCCGTTGCCTGCCATGCAATAACTGGCGCACTACTGGCGCAAGCACGGGACTTGAGATAGTTACGGTAGTAGATAAATTCAGCAGTTGGTACCATGGCATGGAATTGACATTATAGCTGTTCACAATGTAACCTTCCAACCACATACTGTATGAACTGTAAATGTTTGCAACATATAGTACTGGTAGGTATATATCAAGTATAAACAGCAGACGTTGACGATATCTCCTATGAACGAGGTACTTGGCTCGCTACAAACACTCGTCCACCTATAGCCTCGAATATCTACACCTGAACATCCGGCACCACCACCTTAGCGGCTACAATATTAGCACACTTAGCACTAACAATGGCAAACCCTCTGACTGCCAGAGTCTTCATGGGACCCTTCTCCTTCTCACCACCACCACCACCACCACCACCACCACCACCATTTTCCCTTATTCCCTGCACTCCCACCACCCGCACCACTCCTACCACTACCACCATCTTTCCCTCCCGCTCCCGCTCCCCCCGTTCCTCTCCGCTCGGCCTCCAGCCTGGCCTGCTGCATTTTTCGTCTCATCCTCAGCTTGGCTGCTTGCGCCGCCCGGGCGCTCTGCTTGGAGTTGGGTGAGTTCTCCACAGGAGCAGCGGAGGTTGCTGTTGATGGCGCTGCCACTGCTCCGCCCTGCTGCTGCTGCTGGGCTGGTTGCGAGTCGGCTGGGGTAGCAGCAGCCGTGGTGTTGTTTGAGTATGTGCTGGCAGCTCCTGATTGGCTGGCTGCCATCTGCTGTTGTTGTTGTTGTTGTTGTTGTTGCTGCTGCTGCTGTTGTTTCTCTGCAGCAGCGGAGGCAGCAAGGCTGATACCAGAGGAGGCAGGTGCGTGGTGTGAGAGGGAGGAGAGTGGCTCCTCCTTGCCCACCCCACATGCTCGCTCTGACGGCGGGCAGTCCTCTCCCAGCGTGATCTCCTGAAAATGACACAGGCGAACACAGCAGCAGATGATGTCGAATCAGTGAGATTTTATCAGTAAAACACAAAGGGGAGAATGGAAAGGCTCCGACGGCGTGCAGTCCTCTCCCAGCGTGATCTCCTGGAAACGACGACACAGGCGAAAGCAGCACCAGCATGAGTGTCAACGAGGAGGGTTCTCTTGGGGAGGGTTTTCATGGGGAGGGTTCTCATGGGGAGGGTTCTCATGGGGAGGGTTCTCATGGGGAGGGTTCTCATGGGGAAGGTTCGAGTCGTAGGGTTGGCGAGAACGCAACCCCAATCCTTCCTTGGGCAAGCATGTCGTGAAAATAAAAGAGAGAAAGAAACCTAGAGACAGCAGAAAATACGAGACTGGCTGTGGTTGGTGCAGCCAGCTGCACAGCTTCTGAAAAGTCATGTCATCTCCACATAGGGCTTGCCGGCGTGCATAGATCCACACATAGAGACACACATGGAGACATACATGGAGACACACAGCATGGACGCTCTTGTGCATACCTTGATCTGAGCGATGGTGGACTGTACTAGCTGTATCACCTCCAGGAGCATGGCAGCAGTGTCCCTCTGTGGCGTTGGGGAGTAGGAAAAAGAGGGGAGAGTGCGGGAGAGAAGGAGGGGAGAAAGGCAAACACAAACAGCATGAGCGGCTCAAATGGCAACAAGCGACCCACAAGCACGGGCACTAGTACAGGCTGAAACGAGGGTTAAATAAATAACCTTAATGGAGCTGCGCACAAGGGTAATCAATCACCTTGGAATGGTAACTCACCTTATTGGAGACGGGCACGAGGTCCAGCAGGCGCTTGACGCGGTGGTTCATGTCGTGCCGCCGCTTCCTCGCCGCCGACGCCGCAGCGTTCTGCACAAACCCCCGCTTGCGGCTGTACCCGCCCACTCCGCCCCCCATCATGTCGTCATCCTCATCCTCCTCCATCTCATCCATAAACCCGCCCACGTCCCCCCCTCCTCGTGCCGCTTGTGCAGCTGCACCTGCTGCGGAGGCTGAGTCTGGTGCTGCTGACGATGCGCCGCCGGCCAGAGAAGGGAGGGAGGAAGGGGCGGTGGTGGTCATTGAAGCAGTGCGGGGGACCATCTTGTATCCGAAGCCCAGCGGCCCGTTGCCCCCAGCGTACTGCAGCTGCATGACCGTGTCACTGTGCCCCGTGGGGTTAGGGTCGGTTTTCAAAGTTGCGTGCTTGAATGCACCTCCTTTTGCTCCTCCTCCTGCTCCTCCTCCTGCTGCAGCTGCTCCCCCACCATCGTTTTCCTCGGCAGCATCCAGGCTCAGCTTAAATTCGTCCTCCTCGCACGTCAGGTCCACAGATGCACCTGCTCTAGGCACGCCTGCACCACCAGATGCACCTCCCCCAGGTGAGGATGATGCCCTGGTCGCCTCTTCCTTGACCGTCACTGCTGAGTTGTTGCCAGTGCTGCCGGCATGCCTGCTCATGTCAAAGGGCCGTGCTGCTGACGCGGCACAAGGTAGTGGCGGGAGGACCAGCGCACGAGGAGCAGGAGCAGGAGCAGGAGCAGAAGCAGTAGGAGCAGCAGTGATGGTGGCAGTGGTGGCGGCAGTGGTGGCGGCAGTGGCGGAGGAGGGAGTGCAGGGGGGTGCTGACGGGGAGCGGAGGAGGGCAGGGTGCGTTGACAGGAGAGGGCGAGAGGGGGGAGGTGGAAGGGGCTGCGATTGCGATTGTTGCAACTGCTGCTGCGACTGCTGCTGCAACTGCGGCTGCATCGGCTGCAACTGCTGCTGTGGCGGCTGCTGCTGCACCTGCTGCCCCTGCTGCCCCTGCTGCTGCTGTTGACTGTGCAGTGGTCGTTGCTGCTGCAGGGAGAGGGGCGCGAGGGAGGAGTGGTCGAGCGCTGGGGGAGGCAGAGAGCGAGAGGGGACCAGCAAAGGGGTACCCCTCGGGGCGTGGTTGCCGCTGTAAGGTGCGCCATTACTGTGTGGGGTGCTGCTGCTGCCGCCACTGCCGAAGCGAGAGGCAGGGAGGGAGAGGGGCGCGTGAGAGAGGGGAGTGGGCGGAGCACGGGGAGCAGCGGCGGCAGCAATAACAGGCGTGCTGGCGTTAGAAAAAGCGGGCGAGCCTGCTGCTGCTGGAGGTGCTGCTGCTGGTGCTGGAGGTGCTGGTGCTGCCAGTGGTGGTGAGTTAGAAGAAGCTCTAGGAGCATTCGGGGCAGCAGCAGCATCAGCAGGAGCAGGAGCAGGAGCAGTGGGAGGAGTGGAGTATCGTTGAATGAGAGAAGGAGAGGAGAAGGGTGGTCCCGGGGAGGGGCCCCCTGCAGGAGTCCTAGGAGGAGCAGACATGCTGTTATATCCGTTACTGTTACTGATACTGTTACCGATACTGTTACCAATGCTGTTAAGGGTGCTCTTATTGTGACTGGTTTCCATGTTATTGGCTCCCCTGTTGCTGGGCTGCCACCCTTGCGATGCCACTGTGTGAGAGAATGAGTGAGAGTGGGACAAAGGATGGTGGGCATGGGATGGTGGGGTTTGGCTTGTCGGCGCATAAGAGGCAGAGTGTGAGCGAGTGAGGGGAGGAAGGGGCGAGGAAGCTGGGCCAGCAGCAGCAGCACCACCACCACCACCACCAGCAGCAGCAGCAGCGCCAGCAGCAGCAGCAGCAGCAGCAGCAGCGCTACCAGCGCAGCATGTGCAGGCAGCATGTGTGTGGGTGGCGGGCGCGGCCCTGTTGATCGTCCCGCCGCCCACGTTATTTGCACCATCATTGCCGCTTCCAACCACCATGCCATTATTATTGTAATTATTAAAGTTATTGGCGCTCATGCCGTTATTCCCAGTTATTCCCGGGCATGAGGTTGGACCAATAGGCATGGGAAGACCGGTAGGAGCAGGCGGGGGAGGAGGCAGAGGAGGGGGAGCAAAGGCAGGAGGAACGGCGGGTGTGGAAGGAGGAGGGGAGGGAGAGACGAGGGGTATTCGGACCACAGACGTCTCCGTGCTGCGTCCTGCTGCTTGCGCCGATCTGTTGCTGCTGCTGCCCGCCTGTTGCCCTTGCTGCTGCTGCGGCAGCTGCTGCATCTGAAACTGTGGCTGTTGCTGGACGGGCGGCTGTTGCATCACCTGTAGCGGCGGCTGTGGCGCTGGCGGCACTTGGAGCCCGCTAGCACCGCTACGGCCGCCGTGGTGTGGCTGTGGATGCACGTGCTGTCCACCAGAGCTGCTGCACGCCCCGTGACCGTTGCTGTGGCTGTGGCTATGGTGGTTATGGCTGTGAGTGTGGCTGTGAGTGTGGCTTTGTAAGGTCGCCACGCCACGGCTCGTACAGGCGCCACCGCTGCAACTGGCAGCAGTGGGGCCGGTGGTGCTAGCTCCCAGCGGCACTGCTGCTGTTGCTGCTGCTGCTGCCGCTGGGCCTGCAATTGCCGTCCCCCCGCTGGAGGCTTTTCTCTGCATGAACGGCAGGAAGGATCCCAGAAGCATCGGCTTTGCAGCACCTTCTCGCACCTGTTGGTGCTGCTGCTGCTGCTGCTGCTGCTGACGCTGATATTGCTGCTGCTGACGCTGATATTGCTGCTGCTGATGCTGCTGCTGCGGCTGCGGCTGCTGCTGGTATTGTTGCTGCTGCTGCGGCTGCTGCTGCTGCTGCCGCTGATATTGTTGCTGCTGCTGTTGCTGCTGATGTTGCAGTTGGTCTTGCTGCTGGCGCTGATAATGTTGTTGCTGCTGCTGCTGGTATTGCTGCTGCTGGTGGTACTGCTGGTGTTGCTGCTGCTGCTGATATTGCTGGTGAGGCTGCTGTTGCTGCGGCTTCTGCTGCTGTGGCTGCTGCAACACCACCGTCTGTGGAAGAGGCTTGAGCTCCGGCTGCTGGTAAAGCTGCTGCTGCTGCTGCTGTTGCTGGTGCTGCTGCTGCTGCTGCTGCTGTTGCTGTGGCTGCGGCTGCGGCTGCGGTGCTGGCTGTAGATGCATTTGCTGCTGGAACTGCTGCTGCACGGGCGGCACTCCAGCCGGTGGCGAGTGCTGCTGCCTTGATGCCCCTGCTTGCTGCTGCTGCGTCTGCTGAAGCGGCAGCTGCGGCACTTGCACGGCAGAGCTACCGCCGTTCCCTCCGTTCCTTATCGCCTCCGCGCTCTCCCCCTCTGCCCCACGCGGGTATCCATCTCCGTTCGCACTGCCTGCACTCACTCCGCCTGCTCTCGCAACCGACTCTGGTCCTGAACCCGAACCTAGGGCCGAGCCTAGGCCCGAGCCTGAGCCCGAGTCAGCGGAGAGTCCGGCGGGGTGCATGGGGAGAGGGGAGCCATCGAGGCTGCCCAGCCCTGCGAAGATGTTGCTCTCGGCCGCGCTGCCTCCCGCCTGTGACACAGGCGACTGCTGCTGCTGCTGCTGCTGCTGTGGTTGTTGCGGCTGCAGCGGCTGCTGACTTTGCGGTGATTGACGCTGCGGCTGCTGGTACAGCGGCTGCTGCGGATGCCTGGGAGGGGGAGGAGGGAGGTCCACTTGGCCCACACTGGCGACGGCGGCGGCGGCAGCGGCGGTGAGAGCGGGGGAGTCGGAGAAGGTGTGGTCACGAACCAGCGCCGTGCTGCTGCTGCTGTGGTTCATCTCACTGCCGTACTGCGCCTGCTGCTGCTGCTGCTGCTGCTGCTGCGGCTGCTGCTGCTGCTGCTGCTGCTGCTGCTGCTGCTGCTGCCGCATCTGCAACTGCGGCTGTTGCATCTGCTGCTGATGACTGTTAGGATTGTACTGCTGCGGCTGCTGATGCTGCTGCTTCTGCGGCGCATCCAGCGGCCGCGTGTCGCTTTCCCGCGCGTTGAGTCGGTCCATCAGGTTGCCCCGCACTGCCCGGCGAGCCTCGTTATAAGCCAGCCCGCGATAAGTGCTAGGCGAGCAGGCGATCGGGGCGCCCCCCGCATTCCTTGGGAACAGGTCGCTTTGAGGCGTGGGGGAGACACGAACATCCGACGTGGACGAGGGGCCAATGGAAGACGGACACGTGGAGGCCTGGCCGGTTTCGCAGAGGATATCGGAAACGGGCGTGTCGTAATAGGAGGTGAGGGACCAGGGCTCCGGCGATTGGTTGGCGGCGTACGACGGGCCGTTAGTGAAGGAGGGTGCATTGGTGTAAGAAGACGGCGCGTTGTTGCTAGACGGCCCGTTAGTGTACGAGAGGGCGTTGTTGAACGACCCGCCGTCCGATCCGCCGCCGATCGCGCGGCTGCCGTGCGGCGCAGGGGTCGCGAAGCTCACCGAGTCAACTGCCATGATTAGATCCTGCACGGTCATCCCAGGCATCGGCGAAGTGCGCGAGAGCAGCAAACCAGCCGAGTCTGTCCCGGACAGATTAACTTCAAACGGACTATTTCCGCCACTCATACCCGCCATCCCGCGATTCCCGCCGCCAGATACTGCCGGCATCGCCCCAGTGCCTATCCCCGGTCCGCTTTCTCCTTGGTACCCGCGGCTTCCGCCGCTCCCGCCGCTGTTTCCCACAAAAGGCGGCGCTTCGTGCAGCATTGTGCTGTCGCCGCTGATTGGGTCGTTGAAAATGTCCTCCTCGCTCGGCAGCCACGCCGGCGACCAGCACATTCCGCCTGCGCCGTCCCCTACCGCGCCCCCTCCGTCGCTCTTGCGCGGAGTTTCCGCCTCCGGGATCCGCGTGTGCGGGGACGGGCGGGAGAGGCGCGCTTCCATGTCGTCGGCGGCCGTCAGAAAAGATGACGGGCCGGGAGGAGATGACGGATCGAAGTCGTCTGCGAACTCCGTGTCGGA